AAACAAACACACACACACACACACACACACACACACACACACACACACACACACACACACACACACACACACACAGAACTATATTTCTGTCAATGTAATCCTCCCTATATTAAATGTTTGTCCTTTGCTGAAGTGAAGCCGTGCTGAGTAAACAATAATCGTACACAGAGGAGTTGGGCTGCTGGTTGTACGTAAAGAAGAGGGATTTTATTGTGCTCTCACACACGGTGTATTTAGGCTGAACACAAACGGGGGATGTGAGAATACACAATAGTCTAATATACAATTTTTTGTTAAACTGTTTGTCACTGTGTCTTTGTCTCCGTTCCTTTAGGAGGACTAAAAAACTTCTCTCAGATCTCTTGAGCATCTCGGACAGATCATCCCTCATGGCGTGGTTGCAGTCAGACTCTTCATTGGTGCAACACCAGGAAAACACACAACCTGCAATCAGTGAATGATCCTGCTCAAAGAAAAATACAGGGGGTTCAGAAGTACAAACTTGTCTTAGAATGAGTGGAGTCGTTTTTGTTAATGTTTGCGTGTGCGTGTGTGTGTCACCATCATGTGAACTGTAGCTGTATTCCAAATATCAGTTAATACGGACTGAGAAGATTTCACTTCCAGACTATATTTGAAATCAGTGTTTGATGATTAAAAAATGAAAAAAATATACTTGCTGTTCTTCACCTTAAAGAAACTTTGATGCAGCTGGACCTTTGAATGTATTTTTCCTCACAGTCTTCTTTCTTCGAAATATTTGGAACTTACATTACCCAAAATGCATCTCGACGCTTGCGATTGGAAATGTTTGTTACGCTAGTAGCAGCTAGGGTTTTTCAAATATGCTATGTTTCAAGACCTGTAGATTTTTATTTCTTAAATTGCTGGAATTTCCATTTAAACAAGAAATGTTCATGCTTAACATTGAACACTACATTAGTTCTGTTATGGTATAAAAGTGGTTGATGCAACACTTTAAGCCTAATTATTAAGCAACGAATCACATTTGCCTGTAAGAAAATATGCATTAGCCCTACATACATGTAGCTCTTTCACTCACTCTCACTGTCAAACACACACATACACGCACACACACACAACTCACGCTCCGCCTTTCAATTCACCAACTCCAAGATCAGCCCGCACCAGCAGAGAGAGAAAGAGAGAGTTGAATGGAGAGAGCGAGAGAGAGAGTAAAAGGAGTGTGAGAGAGAGAGTTGCCACTGTCAAAGCCGATTACAGTTTATCTGGTCAGTGATTCTGTCACTGTCCACTTGAGGGTTCTCCACTTTGTGGACGAGACGCTCCCGCTTTCTCCTGCTTGATTGTTTGCCGAGCAGCATGGATGTACTGTAATGTAGCGGGACTCCGACACCTCTACCATGAGTTCCTCTGCAGATGCGCTCCTGTCAGCTGCCGCGCGCCACTCGGTGGGAAAGTTCTCGTTGAGAACCCCGCTTGTCGTACTTTCTTCACTTTGCTATACCGTGTGACAAAATGCAGAAAAGCGTCCGCTACAACGAAGGGCACGCGCTCTTTCTATCGGCTGTAGCGCGTAAAGAGGGGACTAAGCGCGGCTATCTGAGCAAAAAGACGGCGGAGAACAGCCGATGGCACGAGAAGTTTTTCGCTCTCTATCAGAATATATTGTTCTACTCCGAGAACGAGCAGAGCACGAGACCCGCCGGGATTTACCTGTTGGAAGGATGCACCTGCGAGCGCGCGCCTGCACCCAAGACATCTACCACTGGGAGGGAAGCGCTGGAGAAACAGGTCAGTTTTTCACTCAACACTGATGTGTTTGAAAGTTCTCACATATTTTCTGATGATGCCCCAAATCTGCCAAAACCCCCATTACATCATCATAGTGCACTCACTGATTGTAAGTCCAAAGAGATGCATAGCCTATATGGAAGCTGATATGTCTTGTGTATCATATAACCCATGGCCACCAAGGTCTTTCTAGAATATTTGTGCTTTATTTACATTGAAAGAAACATAAATGAAGAAAGGGACGCCCATGTAGGCTACAGTAAAAAAAAAGAGCAAGTGGCTCATGCAGCGTCAGACTGAAGTGGCTGCAGCAGCTCAGCCTCTCTGCAGTGTCAAGAACTCCAAATGTATCATCCCCGAGCAGGTGATCACCCCCCCAAAGATTCAGATGTGCTAGAAAGAGCATGCTGCTAGGACAGTTAGGTTCCAAAAAACATGTCTTCTTCCAATTAAAAACAAAAACCAGGTCCTTTTATATTATATTTCTTTTTTTGTACTCTCTTAAGTACTTCTCTTTATCTCTGAGGTCATAACATTTGCCCGCTGTCTCCCCAAAACGTACTTGATTTGAAACCTGTTTAAAATGACCCTGATAATCCATCATAAATGTATTATAAACGATAGGAAGTTATTCTGAACACCACCTTTTTCAGTCAAGCTTGACCTTTTTTCTTATTCCACAGTCAAATTCATATAGTCTGACAGTAGGAGGAAAGTAGAAATGCAGCAACAGGTTCTTTCATTTAACCTAATGAATTCTATACATCTGGAAAATACTTTTTATTCTACACACACTATTTGTATTTAGCAGTGCAACAAATACACATCATCTTTACATTGAATGAAACATGTATTCCCTATCTTCCCACTATCTCATAAATGTATTTTGCTTTATTTAGTTACACCTAATACAGCTTGGAATATTTAGTGTTTTTTTTGTAATCTTGTTATCTGAATTACTATTGAAAATAAACCCTTGTTTAAGCAATGCAGTGTTGTGGACCCATTTCTAAATCCTGCAAACTCTGATGAAGGTCAGAGATTCTTGACTTAAAGGCAGTAATGAGGGAGGGAGTATTTTTGGCAAATCTGTTGGTGATGTGCTCCTAAGAGCTGCCTCAGCATTGTTGCTCCTACAGCTAGGTAGATCTGGTTGCTAGGAAACATTTGAATTATAGGCCTACCATGTGCACATGAATTTCATTGAGAAAAAATCAAACTGATCACATGTTTTCAGCTTGCCTCAGAGATGTGAATAGTCCTCATTACATTAACAATTTAGGGGGAGGGATATACTGGAGAACATTGCATTTTACAGTGCATTCTTTACAGATGTATGCAAATGTCCAGTGGCTGACAGGTGCAAATGCTCTAAAATGGCCATATGCACTTCCATTAGGAGAAATGCTCTGCAGCTTCAGAAACTATGCAAATATCCTCATAATCAAGATGATGAAGGAGGACAGAAATCTCTTTTTGAGGGCAACATTGCATGTTGTTCTAACCCTTAACACCTAATATTGGTACTGATGTTAGCATGGAACCCGCTTATTTTTCTTTTATCCACACTCACACTGACTGTCTCACTCTCCCCCCATCTGTCTACAGCTGTGATGTTTAATTAGGGTTATTTTCAATTTGCCTTCAGCTGAAACCTGGTGTGCTCCAAAGTCATGTGTATCCATAGCCATGCTCACGAGCGACACATATAAACCCAATATCATTGTATCTTTGAACACTGTATCTGGCTTCCAGTATAATGTGCGCAGGTGTATATGAAGATCATATCTCAGTTAAGGATACGTTTAGGCTGCTCCTGGGTCTTTTTCCTTGTGCAAAGGGTTGTTAGGATAAAGTGAGAGAAGGCCTTCCATCTCTTCATCAGTCACGCTGGCTCTTCACTGTTTTTCTGTGCAGTAGAGTGAGTCTGCCAGCAACCTACTGTATTCACACCCCCACAGTGAGCCACAATGCAACCACACAAATAACACACATCTACTGCCCTCTCTCTCTCTCTCTCTCTCTCTGTGTTGTACTCTCAGAAAGACACAAACCCCTTCAAATTATTTAGAGAGCATACACACTGATCTGAATGGTTTCCACAGCGACTGTGGACGTGCATTGCTGATATGAACAGGTGTGTGTGTGTGTGTGTGTGTGTGTGTGTGTGTGTGTGTGTGTGTGTGTGTGTGTGTGTGTGTGTGTGTGTGTGTGTGTGTGTGTGTGTGTGTGTGTGTGTGTGTGTGTGTGTGTGTGTGGAAAAGACCAGATTTAGTCGTGTATAGTTGTCAACCCCCCCTCCCCCACCCCCCATCATCAAGTGTTGGGTTGGGTTTTGATCCAGAAGCATGCAGTTATACAGAGGCCGTGAACCAGGGGAGTGCTGGTGTTGCTTTATTGAATGACAGTTTGCCATGTTGTAGAAACAATTGTTGTTGGACTTCGTTGGACTATAGGTTGGTAACATCATTGAGTTGTGCCAGAGCCAGGATCCAAATACATAAGGAGACAAACTGAGAAAATCAATGCTACATTTATTTAAAACAAATTATAGCCTTAGCATAATAAAGCTATACATCAGAGTTGTTTCTTCAAATTGATGTTTTTCTCCTTGTGCTCCCTAAGGGTTAAAGAAAACGTTTTTTAAGTGTTTCTAAAATGCCAAAATTTCCTTGTTTCAATCATTTTTGGCACTTCAGGGCCACCTTACTGTTGGTAGCACTGAAAAGACCGTTCTCAGCGTTATTTTATATTGGAAAATTGAGAATAGGATATAGATCAATAGTATATTAAAGTTTTGTGTTTGTAGATGTAAGGCTCAGTATCGTGATAAAGGATGCTTCCAAAGGAATGCACAATAAAGTTTTTAAGGAGATTGTAGTTATATAACATAAACATCATAATTAAAGGTTAATTCAATGCTGTGATCTGACTGCTATGACTTTAATAAAGTGGGTTTTTGTTGAGATACTGTATCGATACATAAGTTATTTACAGCAGTGTCCTTCCTCATTGGACATGATGCTTTACAGTTTTTGTGTGTGTGTGTGTGTGTGTGTGTGTGTGTGTGTGGGAGGGTGTGGGTGTTACATCTAAACATCTCTTTCAGAGCCTCCTGTTTTTTTTTTTGCTGCTGCTCGCCCTAATCGTCTGCATCAAGGCACCAATTCTTGCCATATTACTGGATTCTACTTTGCTTCCATCCGCAGGCTGCTTTTCATTTTTTTGTTTAGTCTTATGCCAGGACTTTGAGCCATTATGGACCTAATTAGTGTCAGATAACAATTTGCAGCTGGCATGCATCTTAAAATCTGTCTCATGTGTTTGAAATACTGCACTAATCAAAGAAAGGTCAATGAGGGGGGAACTTTAAAGAAAACACTCCTGGTAAAACAACATTGTTTTGTCTTATTCTTCAGTGTCTATGAAAACTATTGCCTCCAAATTGTCAGAAGTTCATGAAAAAGCTTATTTAAAGAAGTAGAACACAGTTTTGGGACTTGTTTGTTGCCCTTTCACACTAAGCTAATGTAGAGCCATTGGTGAGCATCTGTCGTCCTTGTATTCCTATTTTTCCGATGTTTAGTGATCTGGGATAACACTTTTGGGTAATCCAAAGTTGTGTAAAAATGGTCTCAAAACTTACAATATGTTACCAAATGCAGAACATACAATGAAAAAACTGAAATCTGTTAGCATAATACATTTAAGTAAAGTCCACATTTCAGTTTTTTCAGTGTAGGTACTGGTTGGCTTTTGGTTGTAATCTTTGCAGTGTGACGCAGACAAGATGAGGGGACACAGTGTACGTTGCAGAGTGGCGCTGGGTCTAAACATTCAATGCCAGTTTGTGATGTTTCCAGCTAGGACACTTTATATTGCCCCTTTGTAAAAGTTAACAAAGCCTTGACTGGGGAATTTGACTTTCTTAAGTTATTCCTTAAAACTTTCTCCACCCCTGCTTCATCGATATAGATTGGAGTCCTTTTTTTTCAAGAATCCCAAACAGCTCTTCTGGGTTTGTAGTCGTTGAGTGGTATGTTATTCTCTGAAGACTACTCTGCAAAATGGTTGATTTTCTGCTTGCTCAAAATATAGTCAATGTTTGTATCCCAGCCTAAAACGTCAGTGTTGTCCGCAAACTTCTCTCCCTAATGGGGGCTGCAGTGATCGATGTTTAGCACACAGCCCGAGGTGCTTGGTGTTAAACAGTTAAGCAGACAAGGTAATGGGGAGAGATTATATTGATGGCAAGCAGAGATCAACAACCAGTAAGACCAGAAATCATCACCATATTTTTTTGGAAAGGGAGTAGTAAAAATATATGGCCATTGTGAACATAACATTGTAATGATGCATTTCATTTGCAGTTTTTTCTGCGTTAGGACAACGTGATATGACTAGCCTCTTTGGGACAGCTGAATTCAGCAGGTCTAAAATTGTTTATAAAACTTACGTCAGTTATCTCACTGCCTCAGGTAAGGCAGAGTAGAGGTGAGAATAATATATAAAACACACCTAGCCGATACAAATTATTCCATCACATCTCATCCTTCACCGGCACTGGGCTGTTCATGGGGACGCCACGGGTGATAAAGCTCTCGGGGCATCGAGCCTCTGTTCTCTTTAGTGGTGTTATTGTTATTGCTGGAGCTGCTCCCATACAGTATACAATACACACTCCTCCTGTCACCAGCTACAGGTGTTGATGTTGAGTGGTGGCACAGAGAAAAAAGGATACACACATATCCCATGAGGAGTTTATAAAATAAACTTTAGTGTGGGGTAATGGGATTGTCAAGTAGTTTCATGTGTGCTTGTTGTTTTCTGCACAGAGTTTATGAGCAGTGTATTTTACAGGATCAGGCAATACTCAAGAATATCGTAAAACAGATTTATGGTGGGTTTAGGCACCTCTGCTGTTGCACCCTGGGTGTCGTAGATCAAACTTTCCAATCCAGAATTTAATCCATTCAGGCGGCAGGATGTTTGCCGATGGT